GTAAGAATTCCCAGGAAACGCTTGACTCTGTAAGCTGTGTTGGCTGCACCGATCTGCTCCTCTGGGTCCACGTTGATTTTCTCCACATTAATCTCCTCATTGTCGCCCATGCATTGCTTGACGGGAATAGTTTTGCCATCCACGATCATTTGTTTGGTTAACCTGCACGATAGACCGGGTTGGCAGTTGCAATCAAAACCCTGTGAAAGAGAAAATAAATCAATGAAAGCGCATTAGAGTGAGTGTCGCAAGACCGATTCGTAATAAAATCCACGGCGGCCAATCGCGACACGGGAAAAATCCCAATGAGAATTCATATTAAATTCTTGTTAGCGGTCTGAAGCGCGGGAAAACACAGATGACCAAATTTCAATTTTACTTTTGACTGGTTGAGGAGATGGCGTGAATGTTTTAGACCAATTACAGAGCAATGTGACGCATAACCTATTCCACCCTGATTACAATCCTTTTTTGTTTTTGTTTTTTGTTTTTTCAGGTGTAGGGGAAACATTTCAGGATACTCCGTTTTTTTTTTTAATCATTCTATTTTACGAATGAAATAATTTTCCCTATCTGTACACTCACCTCATTGTTACAAGCCTCGAGCCTCTTGGGATTTTCACAGGCCTGGGAAATGATAATCACACGAACAAATTTGAATAAAGATGTAAAATATCCATATCGACGTCAATCCTACACTATTGAAATATTGACAAATTAAGATATAACATTTTACCCTCTATTTAAGTATTTTGCTCTTTTAAACAGTAAGTGATAGAATTGAATGTTATACAATCCACAAGGTTTCTTTTGTCATTAAAAAAAAACATTTTGAGATTATTCCGTTTTGTGTATTACTTCTTATTTCCAAGTCGCATGCATTTTGCTGACTTTTTCTAAAGTTCTGTGATTTGTCAAATCTAAGCTAGTTTTAATTTTTAAAAGCCTTTTTGCACTATTCGCGCATTTGATCATATTGTCAGTTTGTGCGCTATAAGTAGTAAAATTATTTTTACTATTATTATTTTTACTATTATTATTCGTAACTGAGCTGTACCATTACAAAATCCGAGAGGGAGGGATGTTTGCGTTTGTTAGTATTGCAGATTTTTTTAGGGAAGAAAAAGAATAATTTTATGAGCTCAGTTTAAACTATTCTACAAATGAAATACATAAGGGATCACCAAGAGACCCACCGCAGAAGCAAGTGTGAGACAGACACTGAAAACGACAAAGATCTTAATGACTTCTGACTTGAAACCAACGCAAAACTTGAACTTGTTAAGAAATTCGAAATTGGAAGAGATAAGCTCTGAACTGCTGTATTTATAGCTTCCTTTTACAAGGTTGCGAATGAAAACTACAAAGTTAATTTTGCAAGTGTTTCTAAATACGAAGTCCAAACGAAAAACAATATCGGTATGAAATTCAGTTTGTTCATCTGCCTGGAAAAAAACTATCGTGAAATTATATATCAACAAAAGTTTATTAGTGATCTAAGATATTTTATTACTGTATTCTGTCAAAATACATGTCAAGCTAAAACTCCATTTCACAATGTCAAAATTTGCAAGAAAATTGAGCACTCTGAATCACGGTATATTTTTGCTATTACTGTCCAACCAATTCTAGGGATTTCAGTCACGGTATTCCAACGAATAGGCTTCACAACGTAAAAACGTTGATTTTAAGAATTGATGTATTTTTTCAAAAAAAAAAATTAATAGAAAAACTGACATTTAAAAGAAAATTGAAAATGAAAAGAAGAGGAGTGCACTTCAATCAGCTGGGAAAACTCAGGTTTTACCTTCAAGGAAACCGACTCTAAATATACCTTGCGAAAAATAAATAATTTTTTTTCTTGTTGTTACTGTTTATAATCCAATTTGTTGAAGAATTACTGAGAAACATTACCGTCTTGTTGACATAATGCATTAGCAATTTCGTGAAATCTTTGGTAAGTTGTCACAGATGCTGTGGAACAATTTGCTTTGAAAATATTATTTGTTTACTAAAAAATTTCAAACGTTGATGTTCAGGTAACATTAGTATTAATGATATGTAATGCCATCCTTTGAAAACGAAACGGTACTACGTAGTATTAAGGATTTTGCAGCAAGGAATTTTAATATTTATGTAAGTTAAAATCACTCCTTCTCCCCATATATCAAAATGTGAATGATCATGGATGGACTTGAGTAGCTAAGCAGCTGTCACATTATTGCAGAGCAATTATCAAACTGCGTATAATCCCTTTTAGAAATTATTTTGATCTGTGATAGGGAGAAAACAAGGCATTCAACAAATTTTTCTACCAAAAGCCAAGATTAAAAGAGAATTGAGGTTGCCATTTCAATGAATAAAATTAGCCTTAACTGTTTTGCGTTTGATATTAAACAACCAAAGACGACAAAATGATAAAGTCGATTTTGCGTTTCTGCCAAAAAGCTTAAGGAAGCTTAAAGTCAATTTTGGAAAGATGAGAGAAACTTTATCAATATCTTACCAAAAAGAAATGCTATTAATGCCTCACCGTCAAAATGCAGGTGAAGTATTTCTTGAGTTTAGGAATACATCCCTTGTTAAAGGCACAGCATCTATTGTAACTGCAATCTTCTACGGTGAGAAATCTCTAATTCATGACGAAAAAATAATTTTCTTTGAAATATAAAGAAGCCTAGGTTTGGGTTTCTATACGTTTTGTAAACTACCTCACGAATGAATGAATAAATGAAAACTTTATTTAAGTGTCTATGTTTTTAGCTATAAGGTTATGGGGGACACTAAAAAATTTAAAAGTCAAAACATTTACATATGAAGATAATAGTTATTTACAGTAGATAATTAAAAAGATTATAAAGTTATTTAGTTAAGTTTTAAATTTCGACGAGAGTTGAGAGGTCG